AGCGTCTGCCTTCGGCTCAGGTCATGATCCCGGGGTCCAGGGATCGAGTCCCACATCAGGCTCCCTGCTTAGTGGGAAGCCTGCTTCTCCCTCTCCCACTCCCCCTGCTTATGTTCCTGCGCTCACTCTCTCTCTCTCTGTCAAATAAATAAATAAAATCTTAAAAAAAACAAAAACAAAAACACATGGCAGAGTCAGGAATGGAATTTATTATCTCCAAGTCTTAGTCAAATTCATTAGTAGTTCAATAAGACTTTATCAAGGGTCTGCACTGTGATAATCACAGGGAGATTAGACACAGTCCCTACACTAAGTAAGCCTAAAGGTGTAGTCTTCCTTCCATACATTATCCATTAAGTTTCTACTTAAATATCACATGGATCAAGGAGTGTTCCCAAACAGAAAAAAAGTAAATGAAAAGTCATTAGCTTTAGTTCAACTTTTACTTCTTTTCAAACATCATCACTTTTTCCTTCATATTCCTGGTTTATTACATTTCACTACCAGAAAGCATTTCTGAATTGCATAAATACATATGACCTTTAAGAAATATTTTCACATAATGTAATTCTAATAAGCCATTCATCTGCCATTAAAAGAAAAATCATCCTTCAAACAATATAAAAATAGGACCACAATTCAAAATCCCAGACTAAGAGAGTTTCTTCTGTAATATTCTAGGAAACAGTTTTTAGAAAGAGAAATATTAATGGAGATGGGGGAAGATAGAATAAAGAAAAGTCAACAAATAGTTTGAGTCATTCTCCCTCGGAAATATAAATTCTGGCTTGATATCTTCATAATCACAAGTCCCTATTGATATCTTTTCTAAACAAACTCCAACAGAGCACTTATCTGAGCACTCTTTCAACTCCATAGCTGAGGTTATAAATGAACAAAAGGACTATTTGTCCGCATGAACTGCTAAATTCCAAACACTGAAATTAAGAATCTATTTTTACTTCTCATTCAAGACCTGAGACTTTAACCCTTCTACAACCAGCCCAAAAGAGATAGCCCTGATTACAAGCTAAAAAGTACCGGGATTTTTCCTCTTGAACCTTTCTTTCCCCTCAGTAAAGAATGGCACTATCTAGAGTCGTCTTATCGGTCAAAACCTCATATAGGTCTTTGCAGTCTAACCAAACTAATGAAGCACTCTCTCCCTCTCTAAAAAAATAAATAAAAATTAAAATTAAAAATGCAAAATTTAAATCATGGGGTATACTTATACCTGTAAGATTGGCAAAAATTGTAAATTCTGAAAAGAAGAAGAGTTGGTTAAGAAGTGGATCACCAAGACTCAAACCCTGCTAGAGGAATGAATGTAAATGGGTGCAATCACTTTAGAAATTTGGCATATCTATTAAATGTGAAAATATGAATGACCTTTGATCCAGCGATTTCATTTCTAGAGATATACCCAACAGAAATGTGTGCACAGATGCATCAGGAATTGTAGACAAATATTCACAGCAGCATTTTCCAAGATATTAAAAACTAGAAACAACCAAATGTCCATTAACAATAAAATAAATGAATAGATTTTGGTATATTTATACAGTAGAATACTACAAAGCCCAGCATTAAAAATAAATGAATCAAAGCAATAAAAATAAAAGAATCGTAACTACATTCAATAACCCTGGGTGAATTTCACAAACCTAATATTGAGTGTTAGATGCGAGTCATAAATTTATAAATGAATCATAAATTTATATATGCCAAAAATACTACAGAACATACTTGTAAATTTTTAAACAAAAGCAAGGAAGAGATTACCAAAAGTCAGGATTGTAGTGAAAAATTATCAATGTACTTCACATTGATAGATTGCAAGTAAATGGATGAAAAATAATATAGCATACAACACTAAGCATAAGGAACCCAACGTGGCTTTATTAATGTCAGATGAATTACATTTCAATATCAAGAGTATTAACAGAAATAAAAAAATAATGACAAGTTCATAAAAATCATAAATCCTAATAATGGATTTCAAAATATATGGAGCAAAATTTGACAGAATTAAAGAGAGAAATAAATAATTCCATAGTCATGGTTAAGATTTTAACATTCCTGTCTCAGCAACTGATAGAATAACTTGCCAAAAACAGTAAAGGCATAAATTTAAACAACACTATCAATGACCTTCACCTAATTGCTATTTATAGAACATTAAACCCAACAACTTCAAGCACACATGGTATATTCAACAAGATAAGCCATAAACTGCGACATAAAGTTAATCTTAATAATGCAAAAATGCTGAAATCAGAGTATGTTCTCTGACCATAATGGAATTAAATTAGAACTGAATAAAATATGTAGAATATCTTATTCCTTATTTATTCCCAAATATTTAAAATCAAACACACTTCTAATAATCCATGGATCAAGGAAGAAATCACATCAGAAATTAGAAAATATTTTAAACTGAGTGATAATGGAATATTGTTAAAATGATTCTATTTACTATTAGTTATTGTTAATTTCTTACTGTGCCTAAACTATCATAGGTCTGAATGTATAGGAAAAAATATAGCATATATAGGGTTCAATACTATCCAGGGTTTCAGGCATCCACTGGGGACCTTGAAATGTATCCCTCCCCATGGTTAAGGGACTACTGTACCTAACATCCAGTTATGGAGTATGTTATTAATCAAATTTGTTACTCTTAAGACTATCTTAAAGATTTTATTTATTTGACAGAGAGAGACACACAGCGAGAGAGGGAACACAAACAGGGCAAGTGGGAGAGGGAGAGGCAGGCTACCCACTGAGCAGGGAGCCCGATGCGGAGCTCCATCCCAGGACTCTGGGATCACGACCTGAGCTGGCAGACGCTTAACAACTGAGCCACCCAGGTGCCCCAAGACTACCTTAAAATAAGTAGAAACACTCACAGAGTGAAGGGAACAGGACAATATGACAGTAAATTTTAAAATACAGGAAAAAAGTTTCTTTTCATTTGGAAATACGCCAGTCTGTTTAGTGATTATCTGAGTAGTAAGACAAAAATGGTATTTGTTGTCTTTCCCAAATTTTTAAAAATGTGCTTTTATAATCAGAAAAATGATGTTAAAATAAAAAAAGTCTATTTATGTGGCTTAAAATACATACTGTCTGTGCAAATCTATTTCTATTAACCCTGAATATTTTATTTTTATTTAAAGATTTTATTTATTTATTTGACAGAGAGAGACACAGCGAGAGAGGGAACACAAGCAGGGGGAGTGGGAGAGGGAGAAGCAGGCTTCCCGCTGAGCGGGGAGCCCAATGAGGGGCTCGATCCCAGGACCCTGAGATCATGACCTGAGCCGAAGGCAGACACTTAACGACTGAGCCACCCAGGCGCCCCAACCCTGAATATTTTATTACCAGGTTTTATGTAAGTATATTTACTGAGTTCAAAGGCCCAGCTAACAATAATTGAGAACTCTTTTATACAGCAATCACTTAATTTTTTTAAATGTAAACCATTTATAATTACACCATGCTTGGTTACCTCAGTAAACAAGTTAGCAAACCCAATGTAACCTTTTCAGGAAAACTAAAGCTCATTATTCTGATAGATTTATTGTATTGGACTGTCAAACAGTGACACCTTCTAGTTATTGATGGATGTGCAGTTTATCTTGTCCACTAGCTCAACTTTCCAGGACCGCTGCTTCAGGGATGGTACTTTCCCACTTTAATACTAGGGTCTAAGGCCATGTTACTCAAAACATGAACAGCATTGCCTAGGAGCTTTTTAGACATACAGAAGTTCAGGACCCACTCTTGACCTATGTAATCAGAATCTGCATTTTAAAAAGGTCTCCAAGTAATTCATATGCGCATTAAATTTTGAGAAACACTGCTCCAGGTTACAAAGAAGTAATTTCTTCTGCCTTTACACCCATATGAAGCCTGGTTTTGCAGTTCTCCAGGTGAAACCAAGTGTTTTTCCACATTCCCTTTAGCATCTATTACTTCCATCGTGCCCTTTGCACATTTTTCTGTGTTTCCAGATCAGAAGTAAAAGTTGTGTGGGAAATGAGATAATCAAATCCTGTAAGTTAAATTCAACTATTTCCATACTGAAACCTTCTCACATAGAAGGAATGTATCAGCCCTGATATTTAAGCTCCAGGACTTCAGAAACTTAAGATCTTTAATGTACAGATTATTAAAAATCTGATTGTCTGCTGATGACATTTATAGGGTACAACTACAATGTAACCGATTTTATTAACATGCCAGAATTTATACACCCACCTGATTTTTGCCCTCCTCAAAGTAGTCACCCTGGAAAAGAGAATACATGCAATTTCCTTTGTATAAAAACTATCACTTTTCTTCCAGAACTATTAAATAGTCAGGATAATATACACGAAATTCCTTCTCCGTCTTACTACTCTCTAGCCATATCTAAAGTCTAAACAAAAATAATTCCTAATTTAATCACTTCTTCATTTAACATCTGTAGTTCAGAACTATCTGGTAACTAGCTATTTGAGTAATTCCCACAAATTGAGTATCTACACCAAAGTCTACAAATACCACCATAGTGGACATCCATAGGTATTCAAAACCACTTTTAAAGTTACAGAAAAGGGGGCGCCTGAGTTACTCAGTTAAGTGGCCAACTCCTGATTTCAGCTCAGGTCATGAAGATTGAGCCCTGCATCATGGCGCCACGCTGAGTGTGAAGCCTGCTTAAGATTTTCTCTCCCTCTTCCTCTGCACCCCGCTCCCTGCCCCACTCGAGTGCATGCTCCCTCTCTCTCTCTCAAAAAAAAGTGACAGAAAAGATAAAAGGTTGAAATAATCATCTCCTTTAGAGAGAGTATTCACTTAGACATAGAATCTGGCATATCTCTTATTTAAAGAAAGTCACAGCACTTCACAGTTGGCATATACTCTAATTTTTTTCATTTATAATACTTAAATTAAGGAAATGACAGGGCAAAGAAGCAAATTTCACCTTTAAAAACATCAAAAACACACAACACTCTTCAAAAAATGTACTTTAATTCCAAAAGAGATTAATCTAGAATGAACACTATCATTTTCTACTATTTCTACTTGTGTAGAAAAGCAGTGAAAGAAACAACTTGCTATAATAAACAACATAGATTTTTACATTTCTTTTATCCAAGTTTCCTATTTGTATTTGTACTATACATAATACCACCTTAGATTTAAGAGCCCTAACAGGATTAAAACATGTTTTCGCATCTATTATTTTATGCCTATGAAGAATAAAGGTCACGTCTGAACATATAATAGCCTCATATCTAAAGAACAAGTTTAATTACTGTGTCCTCCAGAGAAGGAAATTTTCATACATGATTAATGATCTGATTCCATTAAAAAAACAACAAAATTTCAACAAATGTGAAAAAAGAAAATCCTGCTGTTAATTCTTCCACAGAAAAAGTGGGTTTAGAGAACAGTTCTGATCATTTTACATGGTAAAGTATCAAATCTAATAACCAACCCCTTGCTCAGGACAAACGATTTCAACATTTCCTCTTCTGAACTGCTCAGTAACCCCAAGTGATTTTTAAATTGGGAGGCAGATTACTGGCAATAAGTTCATCAAATTTAGATCTATCATAGATAGGCACATTATAGAAATCAACAACATCTCTGACCCTACACATCTGGTGAAGCCTGGAGTTGGGCACTGCATGGCCCAAGTCATCAGCTAAACGTGCCAACAAACCAAATTTCAGATGACCATCTTCCAGGGACACATCCTGCCAATTGCTAGGAACAGATGAGCCAAAAATTTCTTTGACACAAGATTCCACACGACTCTGGAGATCTTCAGGTGGTATGTATGTTCGGCTTCGTAAGGGTGGACACACCAAAACAGGCTCTTTCTTCACCTCTTCTACTGTCTCAGCCACCACTGGCTTTTTCTCTTTTCTGGAATGATCAAAAACAAATATGTGAATCTTTGGTTAACTGCACTAATGTAGCTGACAAGCTGACGAACACCAGACCCAACCTTACCTATCTATCTAAATCAATAAATAGTATGCACACTTATTACTTTTCCAGGCACTGTGGAGAGAATAAGATAGGTATCTGCCTTTGGAAGCTTATAACTGAATTGGGCTGGTACACACAGAAAAGAAAATTACAGATTTTACATGCTCTAAGAATTCCAAGAACAGGAAGAGGTAAATCATTTGCCTGGAATTCCCAGTTTCTAAACCCAATCCTACCTCTCTAACCTCATCTCCTACTAATCTCCTATGGATAGTCCTTCCTTTCTATGCTGCTCTATGCCCTACCCAAACTAAACTACTACATTCTGTTTCCCTCTTTCCTGGTGTCATGTGTTACCTCAAGTTATACCCTATTGGAAATGCCTAGCTTTCATCTTTACCTATAGAATATTTTCTTTTTAAAGATTTTATTTATTTGACAGAGAAACAGCGAGAGAGGGAACACAAGAAGTGGGAGTGGGTGGGAGAGAGAGAAGCAGGCTCCCCACTGAGCAGGGAGCCCGATGCGGGGCTCAGTCCCAGGACCCCGGGATCATGACCTGAGCCGAAGGCAGATGCTTAACGACTGAGTCACCCAGGCGCCCCTTAACCTATAGAATCTTACTTTAAATCCTAGAACAGAACTTTTCTCTTCCAAGAAGCTTTACTTGATTTCCCCAAATATAACTGTAAATTCCTCTGATCTACTATAGCACTTTATATTGCTTTAACAGCATATCACATCCTACCTGAGTTTTAATTTTTTTACATTCTACTTCTCTTACCAGATCAGGGTTTCTGAGCCCAAACACTGTCATTTTGGACCAGATAATTCTTTGTTGTAGGGGACTATGATGTTCATTGTAAGATGCCCAGCAGCATCCCTGGCCTCTATCCAGGGTAGGGTAAATGCCATAGCATTCCTGTCCTCAAGTCATAACCAAATGTCATTGCCAAATGTCCAGATGGGCAAAATTATCTCTGGTTAAGAACCACTGTACCAAATTATAAACTCCTGTTTTATTTATTATAAAGACCTGTTTTATTGATTTGGGGTCCTTTGAAAACTGCTTGAATAACTACTACTGAGTACATGGGCCAATGTTAGGAAATCTACCTGGTAACACTACTTCAGGGCTTACTGAAATATCAGTTCATGACCTGACTCTTGTTTTCCATGGAGTTGGTATCGGACTGGGATTGGTCATCCTTACAGAAATTGGAGGCAAGGGAATAAAAAAAGAAAGAAAAGAAAAGATGTCTGGCCATGAATATGGTTTGTAGCACTATTTCCCTTTGCCTACTCAAAGACTCTTCCAGCAATTTAGCCCTCATTCTGCATCAATTCTTTATCAATTTCTCTCTACCTACTACAGTATTCCCAGTGCACACAATATGCTGCTGTAAAAATCTCCAATCTTCAAAGAAAAACAAAAATACCCCCTAGACTCCATGTTCCTATCCAGTTTCCCAAAGAGTTGTCTACATTTATAATGTCTACTTCATCACCTCCCATTTTCTCCTCAAACTACTCCAGTCACATTTCATCAGAATGAAATGTATCCATTCCTTCCATCTCAGTAATCTCGTACACTGCTCTAGTTTTCTACATAATTTACCACTTGCTGAAATTATATCCTACGTTTTTTTGCCTCCATCAGAACATATGCTCTATGAAGACAAATATTTGGTCTGACTTATTAACAACTGTATCCCTAACACCTAAACAGCTGACATTTAGCAGACACTCTATAAATTTGTGATGAATGAGTGAATGAAACAAACCTGAAGAAGATCTGAGATAATACTACTAACCAAAAAAGAGGGGAAGCTAATAAATCCATGAACAGATGACAAAAATCCTTCCGGATGGAAAGAGTTTTTGCTTGAAACCTGAGGGCATAAATTGCTCCCTGAGGTTCCCACAAGTTTTGATGTCCTAACACTGAGTCAAACAGATTTACCTTCAAAATGTTCCACATGGTGCTGTGGGAAAAGCAGGAGATGGGGAGGCGTCAAAGACCTGGGTTCTGGTTCCAGCTCTGCCATTAACCTGCTTTTGGCAAAATACTTCCTCTCCACGGAGCTTCAGTTTCCCCGTATGTCAGAGCTCTGAGAAGGGACTTTGTTTCGCTACTGTAAACTACTTAGGGAAATGCTGGCCCAGTCCTGGCGTTTAATAACTATCTGTTGAGTGAATCAATGAATGAACACATGAACAAAATGAGGCCACACTTCGTTTCTGAATCTTCCGTGTGAAGAAATATACCGCGCAAATGAACTTAGTTTACCGAGCGCTTTCACGTTCATGTTCTATGTTGCTCGTTCCAAACGAGTCATTTGTTTCCAGACACCGCACTTGAGGCCTGGAACACGTGGTCAGTACTGTTTGCTTAATAAATTAATGAGTGAAATGGGAGGGAAAGAGAGCGGTATCTCCGTGATGAGAAAATTGAGGCCTAAACTGGGCCCCACCACTCCAGGAGACCCGCGCTTACACTTCTGAACTCCGAACCATAATCCAAGCGCAGGACCCGGGTCCCGTCTTAATAGCATGACGCTTTTGAATTCGTCCTTTCATCTTCCTCAGTTTCTCTCCTTACTTTCCCTGAACGAGACCCACCATCCAACCTTCCGCTTTACCTGAATCGAGACCAAAATCCTCTGCGTGGTGCCCCTAAGACGATCCACGTGAGACCTCTTCTGGTAACGCCACACACTGACAGTGCCGCCATCTCGGAGGAGAGCTGCGTGATAGAGCTCTGCCCTCAGCTGGCAGTGACGCGCCAAGACCAGCCAGTCAGGTATAAGCTTAGTGGTAGGTGTTCCCTTTTTCCTGTTAAGCGTCCCCAGCTTCTCCCTCCCCCTTTGCATGCCGGGAAATGTAGTCCGATGGCCATTGCCGGCGGAGGCTGGACCGAGGCGTTCTCTCAGAGCATGACGGGAGTTGTAGTTGGGGGGCGTCCCGGGAAGGTTCCGGGTGACGCCTTCTGGTCCGGGGGCGGGCGGTCATAGCGCTCTTTGGCTGAAAGGAGGAGGAACTGGCAACCGGGAGGAGGCTCTAGCGAGGCCTTGAAGGCTGCGCAGATAGGCGGGGTGGGAATTTGGGGTTGGGGGACGGCCAAGTAGCGCGTCTGATATGCTGCTGGGGTCGTGACCGCTCGAGGACCGAGGCGGGACCTGGCCAGACCCAGGCTGGAGGCCTCGTCTTCGTCGGGCCTAATTTCTAAAGGCTGGGTAGGCCTCACGAAAGGCTCCTATTCGTGCGACTGCGCGGGTTCCTGCCCTGATTTTCTGTCCGGGAGATGGCCTCCCCGAGCCCCCCGCCGGAGCCAAAGGTAAGTCGCCCTTCTGGGTACTCCGTTCTCTCGCCACTACCGGAGCTAGGCCGCGCCACCGCCCCCCCACTCCCGACCTCCCTGACCGTGGTCTTTTGGGCCAGCGATGTGCAAGGAAGTACCCCGTAGTGCTCTGGATTGTGATTCGCGACCAGATCGCCCACTTGGCTTTTTTTTTTTTTTTCAAGAGCGACTTGGTAATCAGTTGAAGAAAATTAGTAATGCTCCAGACAAGCGCTCTCATTTGTGAGTTCTTCCAGATGAGGCACCATTTTTTACCTTCCCCCGTGTCTTGTGCTCCTGTCACGATGCGTGGACCCAAGGTAGACGCTTAGAGAACTTCATGGAATTGAACAGGGTTCCAAGCCAGTGCGGAGAGAGTTGGAGCCGGGCATTGAGGTTCAGGAAACTTGGGGAGTTTGGGGGCAGCTTACTAGAATAAAAATGTTAGGGTATAATTATTAAACCAGAAAAGCTCTATCGTTAGGACCATCACTACTGACAAGATCCAGTTCAGTTATCCTCTAGTTTGAGGTGCCTGTTTGTTACAGAATTGGGCCCCATTTGGAACTCTTGGTTATCATGTTTCTTCTAGCCTACCCGGCCCTGATAAGTGATTGCTTCTGCTACTTTCAGTGGTAGAATTGTCCTTGAGACAACAAGAACTGACTACAGAAATCGTACTATTTCAGGGGTTGCTGACATTTGAGGATGTGGCTGTGTTTTTTACCCAGGAGGAGTGGGATTATCTGGATCCAGCTCAGAGAAGCCTGTATAAAGATGTCATGATGGAGAATTATGGAAACCTGGTCTCACTGGGTAAGAATCTTTTGTTTCTCTGATTAAAATATCTAAGAGGCTGTAAGAAATCAGACTCAGAACACTTGGACCACTACCAGTACCAAAACTGCTTTATTCCAAAGTTCTGATTCAAATCTTTCAGCCATTAGTTGTGTCCATGACTGTCATCCCTAGCATCCTTGCAATAACCAAATACATGCCTTTCTGGCTTCTTATCTTCATAATCTCATTCCCATATTACTCTGTACTTTCCCTCCTGGCTCATCCTCCCACTGCTTTCCTCCCACCCCTTTTCGCTCTGCCTTCTGGAGCCCCTGTTCTTCTTCACATAATGTTCCTTACCCCTCTTGGCCTTAACTGAAAACTGGCACTTTCCCAAGGACACCATTTCTTTGGCAGAGGCTGCTTTTTCTCCCACATCCTCTTTTTTCCCCCTATCCTTTCTCTCAAGGCTAGAAGGGAGAAGTTACTGTTCTCCTGCCTTTTCAGTGCTATTCCCAAAGTATTAGTTTAACCCTTTAAGGAAAATCTCTCTCCTGGGAGGCCTCAGCAGTCTTGCTCTACCCACTCAGTTCCTTTTCACTATCATCTGTCAACATGTCTTGGGCACTCACCATGGATTTTGTCACATTTCAGAATCTTCTCTATGCTCACCTATGCCATGAGTGATGTAGTCATTGCTTAAGCCTCACTATATTCCCTGACCATATTCTCTTCAGGGACCTGGCTTTCCTTTTTTGTTCAACTCACATCAGTGATCAAACCCTCAATTTTGTCAAAGCAGGCAAATCTTTAACCCCAATATCTTACTCTTTGAAAATTATTCAGGCATTATTAATTATTATTTTAGATTAACTGAACAGGGGTGACCGAAACAGACATGATCTCTGCCCATGTGGAGCTTACTCTAACTTCTTACCTTTCTGCCTCTCCTGCTCCTTTCCTCCTACAACTGTTTATTCTTAATCATGTTTCCTGTTCCTTGACTTCTCCTTTTCTCCCCCCAGATTATCAGTCCTCTCCTAACTTCAACCTCCTTATCTAATCCATGGACCTGCATGTGAATTATCACCAGCATGCTCTCTTGCCACTTTGTCATTGTGCTCTACGCATTCTGCAAATTTCATATTCTGTATTGGTTATAAAATCTGCCTTTTCTCCTACCAGAGTTGCTAAACACAGCAGGAGAAATTCTTTAACTGAAAGGATTGATGCTCTGTATATATGTATGCATGGCTTTTCTTATAGTCTGCAGTGGGTTTTTACATCTCAGCCTATTTTTTATCATTGATTTGCTCATTCCCTTCTTCCTTTAATGACTAGTCCAAAAACTAAAAAAGTTTTCCTTGGGTCCATCACTCAGTAGTGGACCTTACTTTCTGTTTCACAGAGAAGATAGAGGCTACTAAACGTGAACTCTCAACTTTTCTGCCCTTCACAGGCATGCTTAAGACTGCTCCCGTTTCCTCACTTCTCCAAGAACTTATCCATCTGTAATCTTTTTTTTTTCCCCCTTACAACTTTAGTCTCTATTCCTTCTGCCCTGGTACCTTTATTTTGATAATAGGTATGTTTATGATTCTTCAAGTTGGGGAAAGGAGAGGGGTGGGTGGTGATCCTTTGAGCCACAGTCTCCTTGCTGCTCCCTGTAACCTGCTCCTCATTCACCTAATAGCCAAGTTTTTGTAAGAGTAGTTAATGAGAGTTTTGTACTTTACCTTCCATCATCTCTAAGCCCCTTTTCTTGCCTCTGCCACTACCCTTAAATTGTTTAACATTGGTCTGTAATAACCCAGTTGTCAAATGCAGTAGACCCTTTTTTGGACCTTGTTTTATTTCACCTCTCTATAGATATTTGAAACTCTTTATTGCTTCCTTCTATTGCCTTGCATTCTCACACTTCCTCTCAGTTTATATCCTTTCTTTGGCAAAGCTTATCTACACTCAGATCATCACCTACCTCTGTATGATAAGTCCCAAATCTTTACTTTCACCTAAGAGAAGCAATTGGAGCTTAACTGCCTAAGTAAAAATCCTGGTTCAACCACTTACAAGCCTTGTGACTATGGGTGAATTACATAACCTTTCCATGCCTGTTTCTTTTTTACAAAATGGCAATAATAATAGCACTTACCTCTTTGGGTTACTGAGTTAATATGTGTAAAGTACTTAGGACACTGATTAGCATGTAGTAAGTGTAATACAAATGTTGATTGCTGTCATTGTATTCGTTATCTTCTCTAAGAGCTCTAAAATCTTTGTCATCTTCTTTTGAAGACCACATAAATAACTCACACCTGGCAAATTTCAAATAATCCATTCAGATCTCAAGAGCCTCCTCTTTGGAATTAAGTACTCCTTTTTCTGTGCTACTGTATACACTTCTGTTGAATTTATCACACTGTACTCTAATCATTCTTTATGTTATTTCTCTAACCAGACTGGTTTCCATGAGGACAGTAACTATATTTTTTTCATTTGATTTCTCCAGCACTTAGCACAGAGCCATATATATTATATGCTTAGGACAGAAGCATATATATTATATGCTTCTAAATATTTGTGTAACGGAATGAATGAATATACTCAAGATTCATACCTCTTGACTAGATTATTGCATTAATCCATAAACTAGCCCCTTGCCTCCAATCTCCCTTTCTTTTAATACATTCTATTTACTACCACCAAAGTGATTCTGTTAATTAACTGCTTACAATTTACAATTCCTGATAGCCTAAAGGATAAAAATCTTAATTTCTTGTTGTACCTACTAGGGCCTCTCTAAATAGCCCCTGCCTGGCTTTCTAGCATCATCTATTATTTTTGCACACCACTTCAGTCTCCAGCCATATCAGCTGCTGATTTTTTTCCCCAATATGCCATGGTGTCTCTGAGTCATTGTCAGCTTTATCCACACATATGGTATCCTGGCTGATAGAACCAGGCAAATGCCCAGCCTTGCCTGCCCCTACTACTATAAAATGTGAGTGCCATATGGACGAAGGCATGGCAGTGAGCCCATCTGTGATCTCCTTTCAGGCTCTCATTTTAGCTGAACTACAACTTTTTATCAGTTATTATTTCTCCCTCCACAATCTATTCATCTGTAGACTCTGTCTCCACTCCTTTGATGAGAGCCCCCTTGGTGAAAGATCACTATTACTTGATTTTTTCTAATGTAGTGTTTTCCTGCACGTCATCTTGCTGCTTTACTTAGTACAACTCTCTTTCAAATTTAATTTTGGTCCTTTATTCATACCTTTCCTTTCTATGATGATTTTTCTTTAAACACTTTAGTAACTGTTGATAATACAGCTGACAGCTTAATCTTAGTTCTCAGTCTTTCAGTTCTTTCAAATGAAATGGACTTCTTCAGTTTGAATGACTTCTTTCTAGTCTACTTGAGCCATATTGGACCTTGACAGCATTGGGAATTGCTGCTTCTGTAAGATGTTAAACTCATTGTTTCTTTTCTTACAGTCTTTTCTCAATTATTCAACTACTCATACATTCAATAAATAGTTAATCAAGCACTGTGCTAGCGCTAGGAATGCAGATTCTTCCCCATTCTCTCATTCTTTTACCAAAAAACTGTTCTTTCTGTACTCTTTTGGATACTGGGGTTGGCAGCTATGGTCAGTCCACAGGCCAAATCTGGCACACTGTTTTTATAAATAAA